TTTTCCAGTAAGACTTTATGTCCTAAGAATGTTTCTATTCTTAGTTTCGAAGAACCAGATCCCCCATCCTTGGATGCAGATCAGCCAAAGCCAGTGTTTAATCTCATTATAGCAGCCCCGCAGACAAAGGCACTGTGGTCTGGATCAAGTCACTCTATCTAAGAAACACACATGTTGCTTTCATCACGCAAGGTTCTCACACATTTTTTCTGATTCATTTTTAGAAGCGCCCTTTGTGAACTCTGCTTTTTCCCACAGCTCAGGGGAGGGCCTGGTGCTACCAAAAAGTTCGTTTCACAGGAGAAGTTGCCACACACTGCTTTATAGAACAATAAATAAATTCTAAAGCGAATTTGTTTATTTGTCTGAGAAAGTACATAGACTTCTGGCCAAAATACATATATATATATATAAGCACTTCTTGTCAACAGAAAACTGTCCTGTTTTTAACTTCAGATACTTAAGTTTGAATTAGATTTAACTATTTCTAGTCTTTTGAGAGAACGCACACTATCTGCTAATTACCATCATTATGTAACAAGCCAGCAAATAACATCATTACCCCTCTGCCAATGCCTGACACACAGTAGGCACTTAAAAATACTGATTGGAAGGAAGAGAGAGAAGATATGAGTGAGTAATCGACTCCAATACCTCCAGAAAATTCGGAGTCTAAATGGCTTGTGCAAAATGCTCCAGTGAAACAATTCTAGAGACAATGGGAAGAGAGCAGAGCAGCTAGATCACCGACACTGGAGGGTGCCTGCTGGATTCAAGTCCAGGTCCACCACCCACTGCCTGTGTAAATTCAGGCAAGTTTTTAAACATCTCATTGTGTCAGTTTCTTCATGAGTAAAATGGGGCTAGTAACTGTACCTACCTCCCAGGGTTGTTATAAGGATCGAATAAGTTAGCATTTGTAAAGCACCACTTGGAATAATGCCTGGCACTTTATATGGGTTCCAGGCAGGAGACAGTAACCACAGAGTAATTTGAATGGGGAAGCTTTGTAAATGTATATGGGAAAAATAGATATACAGTAATAATTAGTAATAGGATTAGCTACCAAGGGGTAAGAATTCTAAATGCAAAAATAGCAGATACAGGGAATAGTCAGCACTAGAGGTGAGGCAGGGTCCCAAGGAAGGAACAATTCGGAAGAGCCTTCCCCCCCTCCCAGACCTCGGTGGGAGTGTGTGGCTGAGGCCCACTGGAGGGTGGAGCAGCTCACCGAGGTGCTGCAGGCTGGGGCTAGGCTGGCAAGCAGGAAACCACCCACAGAGTCCTGGAGAATACCGGGGAGCTTCCTTCAGAGGTGCTGACTGACTTGCCAGGAGTCCACCTGTGGGGTGTCACTGAACTCACTGGGAATCCTGCTGGGGCAGCAGCAAAACTTGCCAGGAGGCTGCCCACAGAGATGCAGTTGAATTATCTGAGGAGCCAGCAGGGGGACCCAACAAACCAGAAGTTGCCAGAGGCATTGTTTGTGGGTGATGAAGGCCACCGAGGGTCCCATACCCACACCAAGCACTGCAGGAGCAAGAACTCATGGAAGCACACCAAACCAGGAAGAAAAGCCCTTCCTCCTGCGGTGTCCCTCCAGTGACAAAATGTGACATCATACCAGCTGGCAAAAGAGAAGTATTTACAGGGTCCAGCTCAAGTATCACAAGCAGGGCAGTGAAGAGTGGATATGCAAGTGAGGGGCGATGAGTTGGTAACTGGAATACCCTTGGGAAGAACCAGAGAGTATTTAATAAATATGGTAAACAGCTATGCAGCATACAGAAGGCTTTAAGTCCTATCTAGCTCATCTCTGGGAATGGGAGTAGCAAGCTCCGACAAGAGGAGACCTAGCATAGTGCTTAGGGGTCTGGACTCTAAAGATAACATGGATGTGAAGCCTGGCTTTGCTTGTGCTAGCAGCTAGACAGCTTACCTACCTCTGTGCTTGTTTCCTCCGTCTGTAGAATGGGGATAATACACCTACATCATAGAGTTAAAGTGTATTAAGTTAATATATAAAGTGCTTAGGAGGGTACGTCTTAGTTTTTATTAGGTGGTCACTTGCTTAGAACAGCCAAGAAAAATGCTTACACCAAAAAAATATTACAACAAAACCAGAAATGTAACTGGGAGCTAATAGGGTAGGTTTTCTAATCGGCAGGCCTGAAATCTCCTCCCCCACCATTCCCATGGCTCCCCTCCTGCCTGAGTGACAGCTCCAATGTCCTCTTACTTATCCACAGCCCCCAGTTAGGAGAGGCAGTTATTCGCTCAGGTTATATCACCTCACTAGAGCAATGATTCCCAACTGGGGGCAGTCAATCCCCTGCCCCCCAGGAGACATGTGGAAAAGTCTGGAGATATTCTTGATTGTCACAGCTGGGGCAAGGAGTGCTGGCCTGGGATGCTGCTAAATATCCTACAGTGCTCAGTTTAATCCCCACAACAATTATCTGTTCCAAAATGTCAATAGTGCCACTGTTGAGAAACCCTACCTAGAGGGTACGAGGGATTTGGAGAACGGGACAGAGACAGAGTAGATGAGCAAGGCCATGTTGCCTTGACTCCCCCAGCTATGCTGGGTTCTTGACTGGTTTTGCCTAGGCTACCAGCTCCAGACTCTGACCTACTGCTGGGGTCTAAATGCACAGTTTCTGATGTCCTTGGACTACTAGTGTCATCTACATAGAAACTGACTTCCCCTGTCTTCCAAAACAAAAAATTAGCAATGAATTCTTGAAAGAGCTGTTACTGAAGCAGAAGTGTCCAACATTTTAAGAAGTCTTGGCAGAAGGAAGCAATATTTGCCTTTTTCCAACTTTACCAAATATGCTACTTTTTTCTTTCCATGATGTGCCCTCTGTTTAAAACAAGTTTCTCTTCTAAGCCCCAGGCCCCCAAATTTATTCCTGGAGGTCAGCAGAATTTTACTAAGGTAATGAGGGCTTTAGGGTGAAAGAAGCAAATGGGAAGGGTGAGAAGCAACATAATACAATGAGAAGCTGTTCTATAAACAAGTAGGGCAGAATACCTACTGACAGCCAACATAAAATTCTATTTGTCTTAGCCACAGCCTGCATCAGAAGCCGTTTAGCTAGCACATATGAAATGTGTATGGGCTGTCTGAGGCAACACATGTGAACAAAGAAAAATGAGCTCTTCTGTAACAATGTAAACCATGTGCATCTCACGAGGCTGAGAGGACTGCAAGTGAAAACAGTCCCTTTGAGGCTGCACCACCAACCAAATTCCGTGAATATGAAATTTTGGAAACAGCTGGAAACCAATTTTTTTTTCCTGTGAGTTATTCACGATGTTTCTTTTTTTGGCTGTCCTACATGCTTGAAATCCTGCATACTAATAGCAGCCCTCAACAAAGAATCACTCATCCACTAGTAACTGAGGAATAAGCAACGTGTTCACAGTTCTCAAGGGAGAGTTTTAGCATGGGAAAATGACAGTATTTTCCATAATTAAAAATTTCCTAGTTAACTTATGAAGACACATATGTAAATCATTTGAAGATACTTTTCATTTGCTACAGAAGCTCTTTCCCTTTGTTTTATTAAGTTCATACTTTCGATTTAGCATCTAACCAACATCCTATCAAATAAAAATTAAAGCTATTCAAAGGGGTTGCAGGTATAAGGCAATCCTTTACAAGACAACCTTGTATTCATATAAATGTTAACATTCTTTACAGAATAATTTACTACCACCAGCCTTTGTGCACATTCACAAAGCACAATGCTATGTAAATGAAGTTTTCTATGGACACTTTCTCAGGTAAAGCCAAATATGCTTCTATGTTAATTCTGTCTTTTAAAACCAAGGTATAGCCATATAATAATTATACTGTATTTGTTTGGGGAGTGAGTCGGCCATTGTTTCAATCCTAGAGCTTGCAAAAGAGGCAAAGGGATTCAGTGAGTGTACCAGCAAAGGCGAGGCATGAAGCGGGAGGCGAGAGGCCAGGCTGCTGCTTTCCCTGACCAGTACCCACCACTACCTCTCTGGGGTCTGGTGATGCATGTCTCTGAATTACTTTAAACAACTTGACAAGTTATGTAGGTGTTACGGTCATCACCATTAGCAAATGTACTCGTTAGCAATATTAACTAAGGAAATTTCACAAGAACCCCCTTCATTCTTCTGACAGTGTAAACTCTGCAAGGTCAGAAATCAATTTCTCTACCCCCTGAAGACTGCTGCCAGAAAAATTTCCTAAAATAATTTGGGGACAGGTGGTTGCCTCAACTGTCCAGAAATTTACTGAAGGCCTACTGTGTACTAGGCACTGCAGTTACAGAAGCAGCAGAGTCCCTGTCTAATTGGAGACAGACACGTAATCCAATACTTCAACACTCTCCTGCTCAGAAACTTCACATATTAAGCAAATTCATAGACTTTTACGTTTCTTCTTCCCTCTAGCTTTTCCTTTAGTCAGAGTGATGCTGTGTCATTCTGCAGAAATCATATTATGGGGCTAAATGTGTGTGTGTGTGTGTGTGTGTGTGTGTGCGCGCGCGCGCGCACGTGTGTGATCACTATTGTATAGCAGTAACTTTTCTGAACCTTACTTACCTGATCTTTTTTTTGGCAGCTGGCCTGTACGGAGATACAAACCCTTGACTTTGGTTTACAACACCGTGCTCTAACCAACTGACCTCATTGGCCAGCCCCTTCCTTGATCTTTAAGAACTGGGAAAGATTACCTTCATTATACTGTTGTTCTGAAACTAAAAAGCAATGAAATAAAATATATGAGAATACTTTATAAACTGTAATGTAAGGCAATATAAACAAAACAAATCCTTCAATATGTCCCCATTGCCAGTCTTAGGCACTCCTTGACACAACTGGTTTAATTATTTCATACATTATCTGGGCAAGAAAGCAATTTTGCAAGCAGAATTAGATAACTTATATAAAATGACAAGCTTTCAAGCTACTAACGGGCTCCAAGGCTGAAATAAGTACAGTCACAGAAAATGCCACTTTTTATGGAAAAGTTTTACTTTACTTTGTAAAAAGTATATTTACTTTATTCTTTTAAAGCAATGCAAGTACAATAATAACATTTGAGTAAAAAGTACCCTGCTTTAGAATTTATTTTTTAACACATTGAAGGCATACTGTTCACTGAAGGTAGACACATGTGATCCAATTACAAAACACAACCTAAGAGTAAACATACACAACTGAACAGTCATGAAAAAATAGAGGATTAATGAAAATATTGTTTAAAAATATTAAATTCAAGTTATACAGAAATTTTATGCATTAAAAAATCAAATTGTATAATCAGAATGACTCTTCAATGGTCATTTCCAAAAAACAAATATTAACTTTAGTTAAAAAGTCAAACTTTTCGGTCCCGGTCCGGTACAGGCGCGACACTGAGGGTTGCGATCCGTTGCCGGACACAAAAAAAGACAAAAAAAAAAAAAAAAAAAAAAAAAAAAAAAAAAGTCAAACTTTTAACTTCTCTTTTTCAAAGTACTTTCAAAACATCACTATTCAAATTAAAATATTTTAACTATTCATTTCAATGATATTATACAATTCTTGTTCCAAGAAATCTTCTCATGGTATATATAAATAAATCTGCTAACGGAAAAGGATAAGAAAAGTTAATCTAGGAAAGAAAATAGTTCAATTAAGTGAGAGTCGAAGTGTCATCTCAACTTATTGTCTTTTTTCCCTCCCCACTGTTTCTTTTCATGTCTTTTGAGACTGAGTAGTTTGGAGGCAGCTCAGCTTGATCTGCATTTCCTCTCTAGAAGCCCTCTCGGCTGTGGTACTGCACAGGGAAGTACTAATAGCACCATCTCCATCTCCCCAGACAGGAGTATCTAAGCCCAAACCTCATGCCTATCTCTGGCTGTGAGAAGGAACATTACCAAAGTGCCCAGAGTCTATAATTATTTAAGCAACAAAGTGGACTTCTCTAGTGATTATTCTACTGTACTGTTTTGTTGCCTTATACCAATTAACCATTAAAAAAACAAATTAAAGGCCAGAAATTCAAACTGTCCATAGACAAGTAATCATTTAAAAGTTGGGAAAATGAGAAGTAAATAAAGCCCCAACCACTTAAAGTTTCCTCTCCTCCATTCCTACTTCACACAATTCAATTTTCCTGTAATAATCTCAAATATAAACATAAGTTTTCCCTCTAGGGCAACAAGAAACAGTGTCGCTTATTCGTATCAAACAGGTTGGAAGCTCTGGGAGACAAAAAGGAAGATCTAAGTCCACATTTTTACCCCTCAGCCTGGTCTCTCCCGTGGTCAGTCTGCACACTCAGTGCTGGAAGCTTCGGGAGGCGGCGGCTCGGGGGAGCGGGGCTGCATCCCTGCAGAGGAGCTGGGCAGGGAAGGCGCCGGGCACAGCGGAGTCCTCCTCAGCTTTATCACTCGATGCGCTGCGGGCTTCTTGTCGGGGAGCAGCACCTTTGCTGGCGGGGTATGTGTGGCTCCATTTTGGGTGCTCCCGGCCCCACGGGAAACCTGAGAATGCCCAGGTGGCCCGGTGCCCACAGGGGATGGCGCAATGCCCTGAGCTGCCTTTCCACTGCTGCTGCCTTGAGACCGATCTGCTGTCAGCCGAGATGAGGTCTGGACGGCAGTGCTTAGAGCCACCCTGACTGAAGCTGAATTCTTGACTTTAATTTGGGTGCTGGTGGAAGGGCCCAAAAATCTGACTGGCTTAGGACCAGCCTTACAGTTCACGCCTTCTTCTTCCTCTTCATTGCATGCTATCAGTCGCCTAAAAATACAGACGCATGTCACTTTCAGCATTTACAGGTGAGTTACTAATGAAAACGTCTCCAAAGTCTACCTTCAGGGTTAATAAAAAGGCTCTCCTAAAGAATTAGAGTCATACCAGCCACCAAAAAAAAAGAATTAGAGTCAAGAGGTTTATAGGTATCGACCTACCTCATCTCTCATCTCCCAAGTCAATATGTAAATTAGGAAATTTACAAAAGATTATTTCAACTTGAATACAAATTGTGCCTTTTAAAATCACGTATGACATTAACACCAACAAGTTAAAATTTGGAGTATTACACAAGAATTTTACAATGTTATCACTCTGTTCCCAAGAATCCTGATGTGATCCGGAGGATAACCAGGAATATCCCAAGTTGTTTTTCCCAGAACTGCTGTTTCAAGAAATTTACTGAGGAAAAGAAGGGTTTCACAGTCAAATAAGTTTGAGAAATGCTGCTGCATATTTTTTCTTCCTCTTGGAGCTCTAAAATCCATATTAACATATTAAAGGTTCTGAGAAGGCCTATACTACAGACACCTGTTTAAGTTTGTTAGCTCGTATGTCCCAGTCATTCTGTGATGAAACCTTTGACAGCCAGTAACACTTGCATTCTGTGGAACACATTTTGGGGACTGCTAGGATGGTCAACCCCTTGGTATGGTTAGATGCTTTTTGAATTTGAGAAGTATTGGACAAACCCTCAAAGATTCCTGAACTGAGTCTACCATTCATTATAAAAAGCCTAAAGAGAGAGCATTTTTAAAAATGACCTTAAAACTGTCAAACAACCATGGTCAAAACCCTGCCTGCTCCCTCCACCAGCTTCGCTTCCTGAGGACCACCCCAAAAACATGAAGGGTCAGGGCAATCCTCCAGGTCCACTCCCTCCCACGCATATTTGTGTGTTGTGAGAGGCAATTATAACATAGTGATCTCCCATTCTTGGAAATGAGATCATAACAGCATGGTTCTTTGAAAACTGTAAGTAGCAAAGAATGCAAATATAATGTAGTCAACCCTAGAACTCTACTGAACATAATCACATTTTCTCTGGTGGGTCACATGGCTCCTCAGGACCTCACCAGAGCTTCTCAGTCATCTTATTATCCTGTCGGTGCATCCAAGATGATGCCTCATAATATCCTAGAAGAAAGACAACTAGCACAGAAGAGTCTCCACAAACCGTTCCTGCCTGCTTTGTTTTCAGTCTACATCTTCCACTAAACTCTATACCAAGGTTTCGCAACCTTGGCACTATCACCATTTTGGTCAGTTAAGTCTTTGTTGTGGGGCTATCCTGTGCTTTGCAGGATGTTTAGCAGCATCTCTGGCCTCTACCTACTAGATGCCAGTAGCAACCCCCTCCCACAGTGTGGCAACCAAAAATGTCTCCAAACATTGTCAATATCCCCTGGGGGGCAAAATCACCTCCAGTGGAGAACCACTGCTCTCGACCCAAATGATATTTGCTAATTGTAGGTTCAAAAGGCAAATTATGACCTTTAAGAAATAAGATCTGTTTTGACAAGAGATGATTAACTACTAAAAACTGGGCTGGCTGTTAGCTCAGTTGGTTAGGGCATGGTTTTGATAACACCAAGGTCCAGGGTTCAATCCCTCTACCAGCCAGCTGCCAAAAAAAAAAAAAAAGAATAAGCTTCTCTGCATTTCTGTGAAATATCCAGAGGGCAAAAGTAAGAAAGTAGTCTCAAATTCCATAGAGGTAACAAATCAAATTATAGATCAGGTGATCAAGAAATCAGAACATCTGAAGGCCACAAATAAAACCCAGACACTAAAAAAAGAAATGTGATTTTAAATGTATTTAAAACACAGTGAAAGACACAGATACAGAGTGAATTTAATGCTAATAATTTCATGGAACACAGGAAAATATCATTAAATAAAATGCTATTTGTGGCAGTCAAAAAGAAAAAAGAATTCAGAATAAGGCACAGGAAATTTTAAGTGTTAAGTATAAATAGATTTTTTTACTTTTGCCAAAAAAGCCTGGGATTTCACTTTTGTGGGGAAAAAATACTCACCACAGCATTCCCACTATGTCCACTAGTATTTTTAAAATCACACTCTCCTAATAAGAGAATACTATACATCTCGTTTTAGAGAATTATTCCCACTTTTTACATAGTTTTGGTAACTGTATTTATCAAGATCCATATTTTGATGGTAAGGAAGAGTACTCATCTAGGTGATTAATAAGCTTAGCAAGGTCAAGAACTATTATTCATTTCCCCTTCATAAAAGCAGTAAAAACCTAGTCACAGATTAAAAAACGAAACAAATAGTCAACAGAGCACAGATCACCTCTTTCGAATAGGGCCCATGTGATGCAGGCTTCCAAGCAAAGGACGCTCTTCCAGAGTCCAACACTCTATCAGCTCACGAGGCACCCGCCAGTAGCTAACACCTGGAAGATAAAAAGACACAATTAAGAGACCCACCGTCCACTGCAAAATGTTGAGTAACGCTGTTTCACTTAAGACTGGCCAGAAAGATTTTGAGGATCATGCCCCTCACTGACGAAGGGAGGTATGCACCACACGAACAGCAAGCACCGTGAAAAGCCAGGACAGGAGAGTGGCCTGGGTCTAGGAAGAGTTGGCCACCAGCTTGGCTTTGCACGGATTAGCATAAAAACTCAGCAGGTCATTATGTGCGCCCAGGGCAGCTGAGTGTGTACTGAGTAAGGACACAGGCTCCGGCCAAGACTGCCTGGGTCGGAATCCCACTCTGTCACTCACTAATCATCTGACCTTGGGAAAGCTACTTTTCTGGGCCTAAATTTTCTCATCTGTGGACTGGCTGGTTAGCTCAGTTGTTTAGAGTGCAGTGTTGCTAGCACCAAGGGCAAGGGTTCAGATCCCTGTACCGGCCAGTCGCCAAAAAAAAAAAAAAAAAAAATTCTCATCTGTGGAATAATAACAATAATAACAGTCACAGGACTGTTGTGATGATTAAATGAGATAATAAATACAACGTGCTTAGAAAAGGGGCCAGCACAGACTAAGCATGCAATAAATGTCAGATGCCTTTATTATCAGCTGTAGTAGCAGCACTACACAGTGGGGTTATATCATTTGCTGTATCTACTTTATTGTGTTGCTGTGACAATCAAATCAGGTAAATTCTGTGAACCACTCTGTAACTGGCAACCACTAAATATGAGATTTCATTACCCTACAAGCACCTTTTCAAACAAGAATAATCTGAGTTAATGTGTTAGGCCAAGATCCCAGTCAAATTCATTTTAATTTTTAAATCTGATATGTTTCTGACTGAAAGCTGAAAAATATATTCGTGTGAGCCTCAAAAACATTATGCTAAGTAAAAGAAGCCAAACATAAAGGTCACATATATGATCCCGTTTATATGAAATATCCAGAATAGGTAAATCCATTAAGACAGAAAGCAGACTGGTGGTTGCCAGGGGCTGCAGGAGAAAGTGGGATGGGGAGTAACTGCTTAATAGGTAGAGAGGTCCCTTTCAGGGTGATGAAAAAAATGTCCTGGAACTAGATAGAGGTAATGGTTGTACAACTTGTGAATATGTCAAATGCCACTGAAATGTATATGTTAAACTAGCTAATTCTATGTTATATGCATTTCACTTCAATTTTTTAAAAAAAGAACCATAAAATAATAATATATAGACACATATAAAAAGGCTTTAAGAATGATGTTGAAGAAAAATTGCTTAGCATTAAAAAAAAAGAGTAACCTTTTTAGTCCCAAGAATGGACTCGGTGACTTCTTTGTACTATTAAAGTTCTGGTAATAAAAAAACTAAGCAAGCTAGGCATATAAGTTATTATATATAATAGACATTTCTGATACTCAAAGAACTCTATGAACCTTATTTTAAGACAATAACTTTATGAAATTGCTTGATCATGCTCCCAAAACACAGAGCGACATATGCTACAAAAACATTCCCAAATCCTGTCCATTAAGTTTGTTTTTTTAAAAGTCACATAGAGATACAATTTATATAAAATAAAATTCACCCGTTTTTGGTTCATAGTTCAATGAGTTTTGACAAATGTATATAGTCACGTACCCATACCCACAATCAAAATATAGAACATTTTTATTACCCCAGAAAATTCCCTCATACCCCCTTGCAGTCAATGTCCTCCCCTCCATCCCTTCTTTTGCCTTTTCCAGGATGTCATATAAATAGAATCAGACAAGATGTAGCCTTTTGTGTCTGACCATCTTTAGCATGATGCTTCGAAGATTCATCCAAGTTGATGTATGTAAAAATAATTTTTTCTTTTATTTATTTCTTTTTTTGTTTTTTTTTAAAAGATGACCAGTAAGGGAATCTCAACCCTTGGCTTGATGTTGTCAGCACCACGCTCAGCCAGTGAGCCAACCAGTCATCCCTATATAGGATCCGAACCCGCAGCCTTGGTGTTATCAGCACCGCACTCTCCCGACTGAGCCACAGGCCAGCCCCTTTTATTTCTGAGTGTAATACATTGTGTATGAATATAACATTGCATTTTGTTTTAAAAACTTCATTTTTTTCCTGTCTATAAAGCAATTCACATTCATTATACCAAGACTGGAAAACAGAAAAGTATATATAAGAAAATCAAAACCACTCCTAATTTGAAAACCAGGAATCAAGGCTCAGGACATACTGATGTGTTTCATTCCAGTCTTTTTTCTATTCATATGATATGCACATAATTAAAAAAACTTTACATTTAATTTTGTTTCCTGCTTTTTATCATTTCTTATGCTATCATGGGCATTCATCTTTATAAAAAGTTATTCAAAATAATCTTAATAGTTTTATTATATTCCATCCCATGGATGTGCCAAAATGTATTCAACCTTCTATCATTAGGCATTTAGATTGCTATTATTTTGTCCCTATTATGAATAATGCTTCATAATTAAACTTCTCTGCTTATTAGCCTTTGTCTGCATTTGACTATGTCCTTAAGGCAGATTCCCAGAAGTAGAATTATTGGGTCAAAAAATATGAAAAATTTTGATGTTATTGATGTGACAAATTTCCTTTTTTTTAAAAGTTATATGAATTTTAATTCCAGCCAGGAATGCATGAAAGATCTTTACTAATCTGGCATATAAAAAATAGTTCTCATTTCATGTATTTTTCATTGATAAATAATAAGGTTGAACCTCCTGCCTCATACTTATTTCCTCTTCTAGGAATTTCATGGTCATGAACCTTGCACATTTTTATGTAGTAAGGATCAAGTTGATTTTCTAATCAATTTACATAACTGCTGTTATTAAGAATATTCTTTGGCCAGTTAATGTAACATTATTTATCCTCATTTTAAAGTAGTCTTTTAATTTTTTTATAATTTTTTATGTTTTAAAGTTTTTAATACTTTTTTATGTTTTAAAGTTCTTTAGTTATTTATCAACCTTTGTCTTTATGATTTATTTTGCACTTATAATCTTTTCCTATTAAAAAATCAGTTATTTGCTTAAATTTCCTTTTAGTTTATTATCGTTTCTTTCTCTATTCATAAATCCACCTGGGATTGTTTTGATAAATGATGTGAGGTTAAAGTTTTGATTTTCCTCCCAAGCATATTTCTCCATCCATTACTTATTAGATAATGTATCATTTTTTCACTGATATGTAATACTTTTTAAATAACATAGCATTTTTATTCTTACAATTTTATTAGGGTCTACTCTTGATCTCTGTTCTATTCACACACACGGTTCTTATCATTATAGATTTATAGCATGTTTTACCATCAAATAGCTAGACTCATCTCTCTAAATGTCCTTGGCTACTTTACTTGTTCATTCTTTCAGAAGAATTTCAGAATTATTTCCTCAAGTTCCCAAAGAGTTATATTGATATTTTAATAAGAATTGTGTTAAACCTATAATTTAATCTGAAAAAACTGACATCTTTATATTCAGATTTCTCACTCAGGACCATGGTATGTCTCACCATTATCTTGAGGTCATCTTTTTTTTAGATAGAGGGATGGATGGATGGATGCATGGACAGACGGACAGAAAGACAGATAAATATATTTTAGCAGTTTTCTTCATAAAAGACCCACGCATTTCTTGAGTAGTCCCAAGGGCAGTCCTAGTTATTTTATGTTTATGATTTTCCCCTATAATTTCTAATTAATTTATCATAGGTAAGCTGCTGATCTTTGTATAGATCTATATGATCTATAGTATCCAGCTAAGTTAGTCTACTAAACTCATCACTTAACATACTTTAAGTTGATTCTTTTGGGTTTTCGAAAAAGTCACTTTATCCATAAATAATAATGACCCTGTCTTCTCCCTTCCAATAGTTTTTTTCTCTTACTTCTGTTTCCTGTCTTAGGAATTTCCACAGGCCTTCCAGAACTTTGTTAAATAACAACGATGCTTCATTACATGCTTTCAAAAAGTTAAAATCGTCACTCAGTTTGTTTGATCCCAGTTTTCTGCCTCAGCTTCCTAAGTCGGTGGAGAAAAAAGCTAAGCAGGGGTCCTCCTGAAGCCTCCTGGGCATCCTGCCAGTTCAGAGGCACAAAAGGAGACAAGAGAACACCATTGGGTTTGTTCCTCAACCTGAGAAAAAATGTCACAAAACATATTAAATCTAGAGTAATAAGTTTAAAGACATCATCCTGCCTGCTTGAGGGGTACAATAAGAAAGGAAAAAGAAAGAAAAGTGGAGGCAAAGTTGACAAAAGGAAGATGGGGTGATGGAGAACAGATGATGTAGAGTTTTTAAAAGCCTTTTCTTCTCCTTTTATTTATTCTTATGTGACTGACAGTCTGTCTCTATTAGCTTTTCAGATCATTTGAGGACTGGGATGTGTCTTATTTATCTTTGGAACCAGTTTTAGGACTTATCATAGGACTTTGTTCCTAATAGACACAATACATTCTTGTTAATTAAGAAAAATACTTAAGCATAGAACAGTTAACCCTCTATGATCCTTAAACAAGTGGTGTGGGACTCAGGTTTCTCAGGTTTCTCATCTATAAAACAGGAATGGTAAATAGTGTAGAGTTGTGTTAGGACTAAGAGATACTGAATGTAAACTACTTATCACAGTGGATATTTAGTATATTATTATTATCAACTCTCACTAAGCAACTTGATACAGATGGTCAATTTTCAAAGTCGTATGTAAAGATTAATTGTTTTATAAGGGCTCTTTAGACATCTTCCCTGGCATTATTTTCATTTTCTCTCCCTTTTCTTGATTACATATTTTATGCTTACTTTAGAACTATACTTCTTAGGACAATGCTAGGTACATAGTAGGTACTAAATAAACCCCTGTTTAATTGAATTAAATAAGCATAATAACAGAAGCACATTTGAGATTACTGAATTATAAATTATTAATAATATCTAACAACCTAAGGGGTTTAAAGATTTGTAAGTAAACTGCCCCAATGTTACAATGAGATGATACTTTGATGCACTCAAAAAAATACTTTCTGGGCCGGCCCGGTGGCGCACTGGATGGTGCGCCACTTGGGAAGCGCGGCGGCGCTCCCGCCCGAGGGTTCGGATCCCACATACAGACCGGTTCCCGCTCA